ATGGCTCTTCGGGAGTGAAGAGGGTTGACAGCTTGCCGTTAGCCAGAGTCAGACTGGCGCCAGGTTCAATCTCGCTGACTGTGCCCTTAAGCATGGTGCCTCCGGGCTGGCGAAGAGTCACCAGCATCTGTAGGCCTATGAACTCCATCGTGACAACTGCGTCACAGCGCCCAAATGCTCCGAGTCGTGGGTTGTAACAGAGTGCACCGCACTGGGTCCGCCTCGGGCTCTGTGGCAGACGATATTGGCGGGGATTAGAACGGTATGATGGCTTTGCGTAGTTCGCGCGTCGTATGGGGAGGCGGTTGGGTGGTTTTGGTCGCAAGATTCTGTCGGCGGGTTGTTGAGATTGGGAGACAATTGTGCGTCGTGATGAGGGACCAGATAGCTCTTTTCCCCAAATTCCCCCTCGGACACATTCACTGACTGGGTTTAGGTTACCTTCACTTTTTCCCTAGCCCAATTCTTATCGATAAAAGGCAGGTAGGCGACCGGGGCAGGTGCAGGTGCAAGTTCCAGGCCACACTGCAAAGTCACGGGGGGTAGGTAGGTCCAGCTGTGATTGATCGATTGGCGGTGGCGGGTAGCTACTGCCGCCGTAAGAACAGACGGGACGAACGTCATGGGCGCAAGCTTCCCGTGGCAAGGTACTTTTTTAGTGTATTGGGGTCAGTGCTCATCAGGTACCTCAGTGGAGCAAGATCCCTTGGCAGAGCCGAGCATCTGCTGTACTACCACGTCCCTTGAATTCGTCAACCTGGACAGCCAGCAAGATCCCAATACCTGTCAATCTTCAGCCACAAACACGGGCACTCCCTTTTCTGCACTTTGACCCTGGCGATCGGCGTGCTCCTCCTTGCCTTAGTTCACCACCTTGGAAGTTTCCGAGTCAACCAATGATCGCGTCCCTCAAGTTGCACAAAAGATCATCATGTCCTAGAATCGCCTTCAAAATAGGAGCAGAGTATTTCCCTGCCTCCAAAGACTACCAACACCGAGGCGTCTCCAAGTTTTACTCTAGGTATCTATGTCCAGACCATCATCCCGACCTACCATTCCACAACGGGACTATTCGGGACATGCGCAGCCTGCAAGACCCTGCCTGAACGCCGACCAATGCTTTAAAAATATGCTCCCAATCCGCGGCCTAGTATCCGTAGCTCGCCATTGCCTCCTCTTCATCATCAAGATCGATCACCTCAACGCCTTTTCTCACGAATGACTGAGATCTCGAGTTAGGTCCTTGGCTCTTGTTCTTCTCTTTTGCGTCATCTTCTTTGTGTAAAAAGTCGGCCATACTCGGTGGTTTCTTGGCAACGGCCACCTCGGCGCTGTACAGCTTGTTGTAGAATTGTATGACCCTAGGGTGAGCCATAACCTTGTCCTTCTGGAAACGCAGCACCTGTAGACCGTCTTGGCAGGTTGCTCGACTGAGCGCAACGTACGCCTGGCCCTTCTCGAAGACCTTGCCGAGGTCGACTTTGACGCGTTCCAAGGTTTGGCCTTGCGCTTTGTGAATCGAAAGTGCCCAAGCAAGGATCAGAGGTAGCTGACTACGGCTGGCTTGCACCTCTCCCGTTGGTGTTTCAACCTTCCAGTCTTCGGGGACACAAAGAATAGTGCGCGTTGTTCCGTCAACCGCAGCAAACTCAACGACTGGGAATTCGGTCGTGCCGCTGGTCGCTTCCTCAACCTCCCTACTGAAGGCTTTGATCTTCTTCTTTGCCTTGTCTTCCGAGTCCACGTCAACATCGGATCCATACTCCGGCATGGTCCAGGACTCGAAACTACCCTCGCTCATGAACTTAACGACCTTTCCCAGCGACCCGTTGACAAGCGTGTCGTCCATGTTCTTGATCAACATGACCTGAGCCCCTACTTTGAGTTCGATCGTCTTGGGCGCCATCATGTTCTGGAGCAGCTTGTCGCGCACATTTGCGTCTCCGCCATCGCTGGCATCATATCTGTAGGGTTTGCCAGGGAGGTTGCGCAGGCGAGCTTGGTTGGAGTTCTCGACCTCCCATCGGGTAGGGAATAGTTCCGTCACCTCGAGTCCATCGTCAGATACGATTGGCCGAGTCAACTTCCTGAAAGCCTGGACGGTTTGTTCACTGATCCGACCAAGGCGCATTTCATTAAGCATATTGGCAAAAACTACGACTCATTAGTGTTGCCCAAAAGATGATTCGGCATGACTTACCTGGGTCTCTTTGTCGGAAGACTTGCGTCAAACCAATGGTATGGTCAATAGCCGTGTTCCACGTCGCTGCTTCGAAGGCAAACTTGGCATCCCTTGACTTGTCGCCGTCGGGAACAGGAGGCAGTTGAAAGAAGTCGCCTGTGACTACAAGCTGGATGCCACCCCAGGGTTTGCCATTGTTTCTGATAGTCCTCCCGATCTGGGAAAGCTTGTCGAATAGCTCGCCGTCGACCATGGACACTTCGTCCATGATTAGTGTCTTTGTCCTGAGCCAGCGGTTCTTGGCCTTGGGGTTGCGTCGAATCTTTTTGACCAAAGTCTGAACATCTTCCTTTCCGAGTCCGATTCCAGAAAAGCTGTGTAACGTCTGGCCTCCAATATTGCATGCTGCAAGACCGGTAGACGCCGTGACAGCCAGCCTTTCCGGGTCTCTCGCCCACTTCTTCTTCAGCTCCGTGATGATGGATCTCATCAGAACAGACTTGCCGGTTCCTGCGGGACCTGTGAAGAAAACGCTTTGGCCCTTGTTCACGACAAGATTCTGAACGTGTTTCTGCTCTTTGGTCAATGCGATCGCAGTCGCCTTTACCTTGGGCATATTGCTCTGCATGACCTCTTTCCGGATCTCGTCCATGCTCCATTCGTCTTCGGCGGATTTCTTGGCTTGAATCTTGAGTTGCTTCTTCTGTTCCTTGAGGGCACTCGCAGTCATGTTCCAAGTCTCCTTCTTCTTCTTGGGAGCGGGTGTGACGCCACCCGGTGCCCACATGGAGACTTCAGGCTCATCCTCTTCATCCAGTTTTATGACGTCCTCCTCCTCTTCGACCTTCCAACTCTTCGGAAGCCGACGCTTCTTTGGCTGCGGGGGCAAGAGGGAATCCAATTGGTCCGGTGATTCGCGCTTCAGAGAGGTTTCGGTAGACGCCGTTCGATTTGAGTTCTCGCGGCTGAGCTTAGGGTGAACGAAGTGAGAAGCAGGTGATGACGACCAGGGCACGTGTTGGGTCGAGGGAATTCCGGATTCGGGCTCGGTGACTTGCGGCCGGGGAGCTTTCGTCTCCTCCTTGGCCTGGGGCTTGGGAAGCGGAGGCAGAGCGGCGGGTGCCTCAAAGTCAAGGTCGAGGAGGTCGTCATCGCTGAAATCGTCCTCGGCGAAGTAGACTGCGGGTTTGGCTTTGTTTTGCGCGTCGTTCCCAACAGCTGTGTCTGGCTCGTCTCGAAAAGAGTCTGATCTGGAATATAACGAAGCGAAAGATTTGCCATTTGGTTGTGGTATAGAATCCAAAGCAGATCGGCTGCTCGCAAAGTGTGTAACACTGGCCGTACGGCCAGGCGGTGGCCTCGGTTGGTTCGTGGTCGTCGATGGGTTCCCCGCGGTCCTCGCCGATACGGCGGCAGAGGCGGCCTGCTGGCTTGTCCTCTGGAACTGGCTCATGATGTTGCCATTCTGTGTGGCACTCGGACTGCTCGAAGGGAAGAGCTGCTTGGCCAGGTCGTTCTTGGTAGGTGGAGGCGCGTTGGCCTCGTAGGCCTTCTTGGCTCTCGACAACATTGAATCTGGATCTAGGTCCGGGTAGAGGCCCGGGGTGTGGACATGGGCAACTTGAACGGCTCTTTGAAGGGTTCGGCGGAGTATCGGCGAGGATCGAAGATGGAAGAGGCTGGTTATTCCAGCCGGCATCCAAGGGGATTGAGTGTAAACATTTGTCTGCAGTTATCGTGGCGGACGCAGGTGGAGGGCGTTTGTTCCCTTGTCGCAGGCAGCCAGGAGGGAAAGTTTCGACGCTGATTGACCAGTCGCAGCAGGTGTGACTGCTGGGGAGGCGCGTGTCCAGCGCGTCGAGGGTGTAAATTTCGCGCTAGATGAGGAAGGAGGGGCCATATTGATTGCTGAGTCATCTGCATCTAGACAGAGCAGGGGTGCAGCGACTCAGTGCGAACCCCCACTAAACAAACAACCTCGTCCCTGTCCGTCCTTGCCAGGGGTCTTTAATTGAAGCCGTGATCAGTTCCATCTGTCCGTACCCTACATTCAAACACATCCACACATCGGTAACACGTCTTACACGCTGTCGCCTGCACAACTATCGAATCCCTAAGGCAGATTTCCCATAAGGGGCCAATGACCGGTTGTTCGGTTGCCTTCATTGGCTGGTGTTCGCCCACGTCCATGGAGACCCCTCCCCCGCACATTTTGCATCTGCAAAGCCGTCGAGTCGGGTCACCCGCAGGAGCTGCTCGCCTCACGTCGGGCACTCAAGAACTCGCTTTGTCGACTCGACTGCTTCTTTAGGCACGAATCTTGGCGAAACCTGGCCGTCGCCGATACTTATTTGCCCTCTTGCCCTCTTGTGGGACGCTGTTGCTCTGACAACTCTGCTTCACTCTGACTGATGGCCTTTAGCTTGGACAAGGATGTCATTCTGAATGCAATCTTTCTATTATCGACGATTTACACTGGTTTCTGTCAAACTGATTGGGAATACGATGTGCCGCCAGTCTCAGTCTCGAACATTCGACCACAAAAGAAAGGAACGTATTACGGCCGATAGCCAAAGGAGTTTCGCCTCGTCCCTCGCCCAAGGGGATCAAACGGATTGTCAAAATGGGTGCGTGCCGGACGCTCCCGTTCCCTCATATAGTCCCGAGCCGCCTCCTCCTCGTATGTCTCGGGCGGAATCGGTCGGAAAAGCCTACCTCTGTCGAGTGATGGCCGACGAAATCGTCCTTCCATGGACCGGCGGTGCCGCCTTGCAATTTCTTGCCTTTCAGCCTCAAACTCTTCCTCCATTCGTCGATCATGTTCAAACTGGGCTTCGTCTTCAAGTTTCAGGCGTATGACGTTTTCCAAGTCGTCGTCGTGTCTCCTGCGGGCAACCTCCTGGGCCTCTATCCTGCGGATAGGGAGATCTCTGAGTTCTCGTTGTATCACTCTAGCGGGTGGTGCAGCCCGACGACGGTTGAACATGTCTTCCAGTTGGTCTTCGAGATCACCAACACCATATGGCTCTTGCCTGGCGGCAATACGTCTGGCCAAGAGTGATTCTTCAATGTAGTTCGGTCCATCAAGCATTGGCAGAGCTATTGGTGATGTTGGAGCGGCGAGCAAACGCCCACGCAGCGGCTCTGAATCGAGGATGTAGTGCGGATCTTGTCCGTCAGATCTTGTATGACGACGGAGGTCTTTGAGCCCGTATTCCTCTGGACGACCGCGACGACGACTTCGGCTGCGGCTGCGGCTATGGCGACGTCCCCGACGGCGACGACCATGTTTGGACTTTGACGACTCCGATGAGTCCGGTGATTCTTCCGTGTCGGTGTCGTACAATTCACTGGAGAAATTGGAGCTGCTTGACGTCCGGGAGCCAGAGGAAGGAACGATGTAAGTCTTACATTTCCCTCCTTTCCCGTGGTCCTTTTCCACAACCTTGACTATGGGAGTCGCTGTGCCTTTTGTAGGTGGCGGTAGTTTGTGTATTGGAGGCAGCGGCGGCAGTTGCTGAGGCGGTGGTCGCAGTCTGTCTTGGTGAGCCTGATGTTGCTGGTGCATGATAAATTCAGCATGATGGCGATCCTGCTGCATTTGTCGTTGAAAGTGGAGGTTTCGTGCCTCGGAATCTCTTTGCTGAATCAAGATCTCTTCCTCCTTCTTGCTGCGATACATTGCCAAGGCATCTTCCTCGAAGCGAGGTTCCTTTCTGAAATATACCGTCACCGCGATCGTCTCAAACAAGTTCTTCTTTGACTTGGACAACGCTGACTTCCCTCTTGCAACAACAACTCTCTTCGCTTCTCTGTCCGCCATATACTGTTGATATTGGTAAGAGTCCTTGTGGAGCTTCTTCATTTTGGAGCTAATCTGTTGCAGGGTGTAGCGATAGCGCTTGTCGGTGTTGCGTTTCTCCAGCGCGTTCTGTGCCTTTTCGATCTGCAGCTGCTGGTTTGGCGTGAGGTCCATCTTCTTCTGCAGGGCAGTTTGGCCTTCCTCGTTGAGTTCCCTGATGTTCCTGATGATGTCTTTCCGGGACAGGTCACGAACCTCAACCCGTCTGACGTTTTCCCAAGTTGGCTTCGTTGGGAACCCTTCAATGTCGGTCTCCATGGGATCCAGGACCTTTTCGAAGCGGTAAACGACGTATTCAGATAGGAATTCGCGTGCGCTAGCGTCCGTCATCCGTTCGCTTCGAAGGTCCGAATATTCCACGAGTCTTCTCTCTCGCAGCTCAGGAGGAATTCGATCCCGTGGGGGTTGTATCGGCATCTGTTGAAGTGCCATTGGTTGAAGCGACACCGGCGGCGGCATGTGGTGGATGATTGGTCCTGGTTGCGCTGGGTGATGTGCCATGGGAGGGCGGGCGACAGCAGCGGGAGGCATTTGACCTCCAACAGGCCTGACGGGAGGCGGCGGAGGTCCGGGTTGTCTGACAGCGAATGGTCCCGGTACCTGTGCCCGACCCGGCGGAGGAGGTGGAGGAGGAGGCGGGCCATGATGATGCAGCACCTTGGCTCCAGCCGGGTGCGGTGGCGGAGGAGGCGGCGGTGGAGGTTGACCACCTCCCCCTGGCGCGAACTTGATTACTCCAGGTGGGAGTGCCATGTTGGTGTTTAGCAGCAATAGGGGGTTGTGAAGACGGCGATGCAGCTCGGTGAGTCAGGGGAGAGAGGTAAGAGTTGGTTATATGGACTCTTTAAGGCCGTGGCCAACGTGAAGCAAAAGTGCAGTAGTAAGAAGGGACTAACGTGCAAAACCAGTTGCCTCGTTCAGAGAAAGAGCACAAAAACGGTCCCGAGTCTTGAGACGTCGACAGTGAAAGTGAGGCGAACCACTTTTCTATGGGAGGGTGTATGAGACAAGAGTCGAGGAACCAAGAGGGTGTGGAGGTGCGCTGTCTCGTTGTCTTTAACCTTGCCAGAGACGACAGACACACAGCTCAGGACTCTGCTCAACGGCGACGGCGACGTGACACTGACAGCCACAGTGACACTGATCTAGGCAGCGCAAGGTTGCTCAGGTCTAGTGTCGGACCTGGGAAACGGGAGGCGAATTCACTATTCGGAGGCAGACGAGGATACGGACGGAGAGATGAAGAAACGACCGTCAGGGGCTCCGTTCAGTCTATCAAGCAGAGCGATGACTCTCACCGCCTGGAGGACAACTTTCTCCTGCCATTATTCAGCCTATCACTGGCTATGCCACGCCACCTCTTCCATCAGCCATACTCTTCCTGGCGAGGCAACCATTATTATCCTTGTCGGTGAGATGGTGGGCATTGCCGCTCACCTTGTCTCGGCAGCCTGGTCTCCGCGAGCGGCACTTCCCACACCTGGGATTCTCCAAGTGAGATAATCCTCCGGAATTCAAAGGATGCAAGGTGCTTCCCAAAGTGTTTGAGCCTTCAGCCGGCCAGAAGTTGGACCAAGCGCGTACGCACTCAAGGTCTGGAATCGATCACGACTAGTCTTGGAATCGGTACAGACCTTTGGTTTCGCTGAACACTGGTTGGGTCCCTCGAGCAAAGTGCAGTTATCAGACTCAAGGCACTTCTGAAGAAAAACCATTTGAGTATATGTTTGAGCATCGTTGCAGACTGCGACTACATACCCCGCAACCAACGGGGTCGCTTTCTCCCGCGACGAGGAAAGCGAGGTGCGGGAGGGCGCGTCGCGGCATGATCACCTGGGTTGCAATGGTTCGCAAACGAGGCAACCGGCCAGCTAGACCATCATCGATTTCAGACTCTCACCGAAGCTGGCTGTGCCTCTTTTAGGGATTGCAGGGGCTGCGTATGGCTTCGTGCACTTGCGCGGGGTGATGGCGAATGAGCGCAGCCCCAGCCTGGCACCGCCCCAATCGGGGCTAGAATTCTTACACTTTTTGGTACTTATATCAACCACCCCTCGACACCCACTAGGATTCCGTCTTGAGGCCTCCAATTGGCAGAAGAGGAGCATCAACTGACCAGATAAAGAAGCGAGCATTAACGTGCATGAGCAGTTACACGATAGTGGCTTTCCCCGCCAATCAAGCGTGCACGAAACAATATTCTGGTCTATTTTATACCTTTGCTCGGTCATAGGAGCAGGAGTCATTCACCCGGCGATCGCGGTCGGTCAAGAAGCCAGTGATGCACGTCTTGCTGCATTGCAACGCAGAACGCCCGTCATCACCGGGACAGGAGGAAGCTCGTTGACGCGATTAAACACGGATACTGAAGTTCGGTACCGCCCTCGGCGCTGTGAGACGGCATCAAGAAGGTAGTCGCCGTGGCGCCAGGTTGCACTTTGCAAAAAGCAGTTCGAGTCGCAGGACTCCTCCGTATTGATTCCAGGGACAGCTGGCCATGAGACAGACCTAGAGAAGCGAGAATAAGGAACTCACAACCTTGTTTTCGAGACTCAGTCTGACAGCTAGCCTATTTCGTCATTTTCGATGATCCGGCTCACAGCCCCAAGGCTTCAAGTCCGCCCATCCATCAAATCGTCGATTAATACCAAGCTCCGTCAGGGACTGGCGAAGGGAGGATGAGACAAGATGGCCCTCCGTCTCAGTAGCTATCGCAGAGCCGCAGCTTGATAGTTGCCTAACGGGAAATTATTCGCGACGGTCGGCTTGGCTCCCGGCACCATCCATGTTGACGTACAACATTGGATGAAGTTATGGTTGTCGACCCGTTCTTCTCGAAGATCATCACGGCAAGACAAGGAAGCCCCTGTTTTGAAATACGACGTCTACTGAGGCAGACCACCTCCGGATGCCGGTTCAACTACTTTGCTTCGAGACCGCAGGCCATGAGCTGTTTTACCGTGCCACGTTCATCGATCGTGATGGTAAGGAATGGTGTCTGTCGTTAGTTCAACGACTTGTCCTGCAAAAGGCACAGATAGCTTCATGCCTAGGGCTATCTTGAGGCTCGCCATATCCCACACGACCGATTTCACATCGCACAGAGACAGCCACAGTGTTTCCGCAGGGCTTTTCAACGCCATACTCACAAAAATGGCCTTTTGCAGTAGGGTAGCCGAAGATGCAACAGACCGAAAACAGAGGTATCACAGGCCAGGCATACCAAGCCTGCGGGCTGTTGCTGTACAGTACTTACACAGCAGGCGTCTCTCACCTGCCGTTCGACATCATCTCAACCCAACCATCACACATGTACGATGCGAAGGCCCAACAAATTACTCAGGCTGGGCGCTCAAGTAAGAATGTCCTGTTCCACCAAGGTAAACTTTGTTCACGTACCACGCGCAGACGGTTGTGGACGGCTTCATGACAGGCGGGAGGGAGCATCATCGCCGTCATACAGGGTCAACGGTTCTCAGAAGACAGTTGGAAACTCTAAAACGGTTTCTGCTCATCACTAGTTCTGTCCTCCGTGCCTCTTCGTCATCATCGTTCCACCTGTCAAAGATGAGGAGACCCATCCGAAGAACCCGACTCTAGGCCGGCTCTAAAAGATCGTTTCTTGGTCGAATCGACGAAGCGATTTTCATTCCGCAACACAGGTCATGCGCTGACGCTGAACCCTTCCTGCAGCGAAAAAGTACTTGGCTTCCAATAACTACGACATGCGTACACCCACCCTATCAGGCTACGCCCGGTCTAAGTGCCAGCGTCGTAGATGGCGCAAAATCTTTTCCAAAATGCATTTTCCTTCTGAGGTGTCGTTCAGTTTACCGTTGCGTTGTCTCAAGGGGCTAGCGGTTCGCATGTTGCCTTGCGGTTGCCTCGTTCCTTGGCTTACACGACTATTGGGATTCGTCAGATTCTAGGTTTCGATTCTTTACGTTGTTTTTTTGCACGATGTGCCTTTTGTTCTCTTCCTCGTCGTATTTATGTTTCTTAGCCGAGCGCGCAGCGGCGCGGTATGTATGACGCCCAATGGAATACCCGCAACGAGTCATCTGGTGCCTGGACAGCGTGTCTGTTGCACTGCATTCGGTGATGACCGGTTCTGCATCCGAGGCAAATGTGCTCTTACAGAGGAAGAGGAAGTGAAGCCCTTCAACAAGGTATATTGGAAAACAGTGGTTTGCAAAAGCTACTCTGCAAAACAGCACATTCAGCCTTGATTTCGGCGGCCCTGGGCCCATCCCATCAACCCATGTCTTCACGGCTGTTCCCGGCGACGCCATCAACGCCATGTCTTATTTCTTGCCCCGCAACTGGAGGAGCTCTCCCGAGGAACTTTGCGAGCTCGTCACGTATAAATTATTGTAAACATAGTATTCTCAATGAAGACAGTGCGATTGGTTTAGTGGTATAACGACCCCTTCGCATGGGGTAGGTCCTAGGTTCGATTCCTAGATTGTCCATTCTTTTGCCTATAGCGATGAGTTTGATGTTTTGCGCCACTGAGAGCATTCGGAGACGCTTCTGCTGACCTTATGGCCCCCTGTTTGGCTTTTGTTGACGGCACTATTCACTTACATTTGTGCTGGCAAACGCAGTCGCTCGTACAAGAAAAACAACCCGGTACCTTCCCAGTTCCCCAGAACTGTTTCTTTCCTTTCTGAGTGCGGCCCGAGGCCCAGCCGTCATCCGCATGGTGCTTGATCCGACGACAGACCCAGAACCATGCACTCCGGAATCATGACGCCTTTCGACGTCCGTTTTCCAGTAAACGACAGTAGATCATGCTCTCTCATGCTGTCAATTCTTCTTTCGACTAGATCCGTGACCCGCATACACCGCTTTTTGACACGGAGATACGGATCCAGGGGGGTTGAATCACGACATTAGCGTCGGACGATTCCTATGACCAGTCATACCGACCTCTACGATCCGGTCAAATGGGGGCTTCATAGAATGAGTGTGCGGTTGTACGTGGCCTCGAATGTTGCTCCCAAGTGGCCTTGGCTTGGGTCTGGATCGAAAGATGCTACCACCGGGTCCAAGGCGGTGTCTCCGGCATCGAATGACTGGTGGGCGGGCTTGGACGAAGGTCTGGAACTTATCGGCATATCTTTGGGGTTGCACATCCACGACGCGGAAGGACGAAACTGAGGGTTCATGGGGGTCCTTCAACCACGAAACTTGATTTAGCGTATGGGGGAATATGAATGAAGAGTTGTGTAATTTGGGGTTTGAGTCAGGCATTCAACATAGACTGGGCTATCTTGAGACCACCGAGCACTATCATTTGGTCATCTCGATATCTTACAGGTAGTAGGAAGGTGCAATCTGAAGTAGGCAGCGAATACTCGTAGGCATTCTGGTAGAGTATCTTTGACTTATGGCTTCTTTTCTAACGGAAGGCGGAGAAGATAGACCTATCTCGCATTACAGAACATGGAAAGCAATGACGACAGGAAACCAGTTTGGATATCGGCAGACCTGCGTTGCACACCTCCTTTTCGTAGACAGATTGAACCGAAGTCGTGATGTCCAATGTTCACTCAAAAATCAATATAACACGTTTATTGTCCTCATTCTACCACTGTGAATCTTCCCAGGCCCCAGGGATCTTAAGCCGTTTTTGTTTCTTGACATATCCTGACTTGCAAAGTTTCTTCAACAATCTCTTTTCGAACCTTTTTTGAAACAGCTCCTTTGCGTAGTGGAATGACCAAATGGCATTCGAGGAATAAGTGGGTATATCATCAAAGAAATCCCATTTCCTCAAGTCATCGTAACTGCGGTCCCTGGGCGTCGATAGAACAAATGGCCAGTTCGCGTCGGCTCCATACCGAGTTGTCTCCGTTTTCCACAAGATGTGCTGGCGACTAGTATTCTTCAAGTGCTCGTCGTCCCAATAATTGTATGTTCGAATTGGCGGGTAGTCTCCAAAAGCGCCGAAGTTCTTGAACTCTTGCAAGACTTCGCTGGCCAGACTGTCAGCATCTACTTGTCGGCGCCACATTGGGACGTCGAACCCGCATATGGTCTTTCTTCCCAGCACTTTCGACCAACTACCCCCTTGGTAGCGATGATAATATCCTAAGTTCTTCCAGTGCTTCTCACAGTGAGTCGTTTCCCATTCCAGATATTTCGCCACGTCTATTCCAGAAAGCTGCAAGATTCTTATCCATCGCGAAAGTGCGGCATCGACAGACCAGTGGCAATCGCTATAGCGGAGTATCCTTCCATATGCACTCAGGGATGCGGGGTAATCTTTGATGTTGGGAATTCCTCCATCCTGACACTCCATATGAACGTCGATACCCTCATTGATGAGTGTGCCAAAGATATCAGCCCATGTCGTGAAGGATATGTCATTTGAAAGCCAGCAAGTCAACTTCTCGGTGTTCCTACAGAAGCAGGCCACAGCTGCACTCCATGACCAGTTGCGGAATGCTTCTCTGTCATAATCATCCACCATTGAAGATCGAATCCGATAGTAACACGGGAAAAATTCATCCGAGTATATGAGGAAATTGTTCAGCCACCGCATCCTTGTAATTGGGGAAAGACCCATGGCCATGAACATATCGTCCAGCTTGAATAGACGTGACTGTTTTTCAGCGGCAGTGCCGCTCATGCTGGAACCGTAACTTATCACCTCCCCCCAAGGCCTGCAGAGACTTGTCGCTGGGTCAATTTCGGGTCAGTTACAATGAGAGGCGCCACTTACTCTTCACCGAGACACTGCCGAAAATTTTGTCGGGCCAAGAAATGGCAAATCGTCGGCTGGTAATGAGCCGCTGCGTACTTCAGTTCTCGTCAGAGGTCTACGTACCTCTGGTGCGCGGGTGTGCTGAAAATACATACCTCAAAAAGTGTCATGGAAGCAACAAAGGACGTGGGGATTATCTCACGGTTCGAGAACATAGTTTGAAGGCCTCGTAAGTCCCCCCTTCCTATGGTATTAGTGACTTTCATCAGAAGCTGGGGGTTGATTTCTCGCGCGATGGAGTGCTGGAGGCTCAGAGAATAGGAGATAGGAGTCATTGTGTCCAAAGCCCACCTGAGCTCGATCCTCGTGGAAATTCCGCGAATGCCAAACGAATAGGTTTTGGACTCTTGAACGTTGGCAAGATCATGTAAGTCGCGTAGTCGAGATTTCCGCGTGACCTTGGTAGTTTTCAACTCCCCAAAGAACCCAATCCGTCTTGTAGTCTCTGTCTGGTCCTTCTCTGTCGCTTCACTTATCCCAGGCATTGACAGTGCTGTGGATGTCACATTGACTCCTGGTACACGTTGCTTCTGTGGCTTTGGAGAATGAGCCTGATGCGGCAACAGAAGCTGCTCCACAACACCGAAGCGTGAGCTATTTCAGGTGTCAGCGAGAGTTCTCCGCAATCAAGACAGAATCGGTGAAATACAGAAGTTCTGCGGTCATCATATGTTGCAGATCATTCAAGTCTTCGTCTAAACAGGCGCTCAATCTCGCCATCTCATCCTTTTTTTCCAAAAAGAAGAACCCGACTGTATGCAGAGCTCGGGGTTTTGATGCCCTTCGCTCTAGTTTCGCTACTATTGCATGTAGTTCCTCTAGGGTCGACTTAATGCTCTGCAGAACGCAAATTCCCCAAGTCTCAATGAGATCAGAGCAGTGAAGATTTGAGTCATCCTTCTCGAAGTTTCTCTTGATGGCGCCACAAATCGCCTCGACACGCTCGACTTTGAGTGCCAGGCGGTTGATCTCGGACGAAGCAGACCGATAGGTTCCGATGACTCGCTTGACCTTCACTGCCGAGTCTATTAGTTGTAAAGAGAGTCCGATGATACCGATTGCTGCCTCCATCGTGGACCACGACTCGTTTTCGAGACAGAGTATCCTCGTTCACAGAATCGGAGACGAAGCAGTTCATATGCCGAGTATCCAGCGTCTCTCAGTCACGACGACGGTGCTGAGGGGATTGCCTGATGAAACATATGCGTGCCGCCTAACGGCTGCAGATGGCCAATTCGGAGGGTGGGCGCTGCATGAGGTCCTCCAACGAGATGCCAACAGAAGCACAGGGATGAGAGGGTGCCTGCCTTTTGGCTCAATGGGCACATTTATTGCTGGCACTGCCACGCTCGCAGCCTCCTGCCGCCTCCATAGGTAGAAGTGGCAGCATATCTGACCAGCTCGTGGCCCCTAACCCAGAAATGCGCTGAGTGGTCCAGAAAGCAAAGAGGAACGAGGGAGGCCTCAAAGCAGGGTAGTATATGTATCTAGCCAGATTTATGCAATTATTACGCTTGTAGCTAACCAATATACCCCTAAAGTGTGTACTAAGAACGTCTAATTATGTATATCCAACTACTTTATGTGCATCCTCTATCCTCTCACCTTCCTCAATTATGTACTCAAACGTAGAAATCCAACGGCAAGTTCAGAAACTTGCACTGCTCCAAATCCTTGAACCCTCTCATCATTTGCTTCTCTACTGGCCAGTCAATAGATCTCATACTCATGTTGCCTTTCATCGATGGCTCCCAAGGCCCGGACTTCTCAAAGGCCTCCAGTGTGGAGTTGAATGCTCTAGCTCGGAGGAAGTCCTTGTCGGGATTCGGGTCGTACGTCCTGGCAAACGACGTAAACGTATCAACGAGATACTGCTCCCAAGGCAAGTCGTACTCATCTCGGAACGGCAGGCGCTGTCGCGCGAGGTTGCCGAACAACGACACCAGCTCTCCGGAGTGGCATCGCAAGTTGTCGGTGGACGACTCCGGGTTCCCGTTCGGATGCTCCTTAGACTTTGGTGCCTCACAGAGATCGAGCCGCGGCCATTCTGGCGTCTGATACGTCCGCTCAAACTCGTAGTAGTACACCTTCGACCCCAGCACGCCGCTTTCGAGACCCGCGTATACAGTCGCCTGGTCTATGCAGCGAAACATGGCATCTGTGGCGAGTCGAGCGCCAACACCAAACGCTTGCCTCGTCTTGTTCGTTGTCGTATTCAGCGGAGGGAATAGGTTTCGTGGCGGGTCTGGAAGGCCTTGGGAAGTAAGCCATAGGGTGGTGTTCGGGACGATGCCATTCTCAGGAAAGATGAGAAACGCAAGACCATCCTCGGCGGTCGTTCCCATCATTAAGTGGACGTCCATCTTATCACCACTGAGCTGCAGCTCATTCGACGTCAGGTATTTGCCATCCACGACCATATAGCGAGCTCCACGGTTGAGCTTCTCGACTGGTACTCGGCGGAGACAATCGACACGCGACCGGTTGTTGGTGCAATTTGTGGCGTTGAGAATCGTGTTTCCGACAACTTCCATCGCTTGGTCGATTGTGAAGTACTTGGCGTACGAAGCCCCATACGTCAGTCCGCCTAGGCTGCTCATGGGAATCGCTGCTGCGAACTTGCCCTTTGCCTTGGGTGACGCCATCAGAGCGCGAACAGAAGCGCCGCCAGCAGACTGGCCAAAGATTGTGATTCTGGCAGGGTCTCCGCCGAAGTCCCGAATATGCTCAAGGACCCAGTCTAGTGCTACTATCTGGTCGGCGAGGCCAAAATTGCCATTCGTCACGTTGTCGTCCAGCGCAAGGAACCCGAGCGTGCCCAGTCGGTAGTTGATCGTGACAACTACAACATCACCCCGCGAAGCAACATTTCCCCCGTCGAATAGGGGGTCGCTGCCAAAACCGCTGGTGAGAGCACCTCCATGAATCCAAAACATGACTGGCCGAAGCCTCTTATCCGTTTGTCTAGATCGTGGCAGGTACGGCGTATAAATATTCAGGAAATGGCAGTCCTCGCTGCCGCCGAACCCCTGATAACACGGAGAGCCGAATTCGAGGGCAGACACGTTCTTCCCACCAGATCCCTTATACAACTTAGGATAGTCAAACCGCCTGGTCTGAGATGCGAATCGCAGGCCGTGAAAGCGGAAGCTATTTCTGTCGCGAAAGCCGAGGGTGTCGTCGTTGTTCGAGTTCACCATCACCTGCCACCGCTCGCTTGTATCTTGGGCAACGCCATTGGAGAACGGTGCTGAATGAGTACACAAAGCTGGGAGCTTATCAGAGGCGCTGGGAGAGGACAAGTCGCCCTTGGAGCTGATTGCCCTAGGGTTATTGTCATTCTTTGCGGTTGCGATCCAGATCGCAGACACGTTCTTTTCCTGGTAATCGAGGATTGCTAGGAGTCTCGCGGTGCTATTTGTATCCGGAGGCCAGAGAAGCTCTCCGAGCTCTCTGCAAGTAGCATTGGCCTCATCGAAAGAGAGACCCTCGCCCAAAAAGAGTGCGCTGAAGTTGGCCGAAGGGCTCTGCGTATCTGGGCAACACTCTCGTCAACATTCTGGATGTGTCTGGGGAAAGATGTGCCTTTTGCGACTCACCTTGAAGATCATTATCTCGAAGGATTGTAATGTCTGTCTTCAAGCCTTGTGGCGACGGTGCGCACGAAGCAGCTGCAGCTAGCAAGGCGATCAGAGCGGCTCCCGTCCACATGACGTCTTACACCGAAACCGAGATAACAACTCGCCAAACACGCGCGACTTCTGTGTACAATCATGGAGAAAAACACACGACAGTTGAAACCAGGGGACCAAAGGAGCGGAAAAGTGTAGTTGTTGTCTTTAAGAATAAGCTGAACAGACTCGAGTCGTGCGCGCCATCTCTTCCCAACGAACAGCACTATCCGCTCAACTTAACCAAACCGGACTGCCCATTGCGCCGAGCTGCGTGAGGATCAGAATCAGGCCAAGGAACCAGGAAGCAAAGGCGAGGCAAAGGAAAAGTCGGCACGGTCCGGCTAGGCGTCCATGTCAACCAATTTGGGTAGGGCAATTGTGGCCTCTGCCGGGGGAGCTATCCTATGCTGCTTGGGAACACGCGAAGAAAGCTTCCCTGCAGCTGCCCTCGACATCACCTTCCATTCAAGGAACAACGCAGAGAAGTAGGCAAAGATGGTGTGAACGGTCAACAGGGAAGTATGATGGACGTGGGCACTCTTGGAGTTTTAGGCTGTCTGCATGAGATCGCCCGGAGGCCGATGCTTGGTCCGAGCCAGGGGACTGCGGAAAACACTCAGGTTTCAAAACTTTGGACTTCTCCAGCGCGCCCGCGACATGCTGCGCTCCCAGTGTCTGGTAAGTGGGCTGGTTAGCTTGAACGACTTTGTTTCTGCGTTTATTCTACCTCGGTGGTGTGCTAGTTCGCCTCGGTGTTGCGCAACCTCGGAAGAGTTGCTGTCTCGCTGGCAGCCCACCACCACCATCAACACTATCCGCCCCATTTTCCTGCCGATTATATATGTGACGTCCAAGACAACACACTTCGGGTGACAGGTGAGTGCCGGTTGTCCGCTTCGATCAGGGAAAGCTGGCGAACTCGGAGCGGCCGGCGGATGGACTCTGCAAGACTTGCCGTATTCCGCCGCCCACTCGGATCGGTGCGGTAAAATGCTGTAACACGCAGCTAACGTCGAAAACTGAGCGTAGTGGGAACGGCAGGGAATTCGGCCGGAGCGAGGTGAGTGCGCGGTGAGATGAACGACACTGCAACATGGTTTAATCGACAGCGATCTCGTTCAACCACAGTTTGATCGTTCCATATTTTACAGTTTCCGCAGCATTGGCCAAGGCCTAGAGCACCTTCACGAAACGGATTGTTGGGTCCCTCCCCTTCGATCTGATGCTCGCTTACCATTGTAGTCTTTGGAGCTTGTCCATGCGGATGAAACTCTCCATCCAGCAGGAACGGCTTACATCATTCAAAATAAGCTTGCTTCATCCTCTCTTCCTGACTCACGGAAGGTGGGTGGGCGGGAGACGGAGGGCTCAGCATTGATGGGACAGCTTTCAGTGTATCACATCGACGACACGTCAGGTCAAGACAGGTTGTGTGTCGGATGAACTACGTTGTCAAATTCCTTTCCGTAACTGCCAATAGCTAAGCAGAAGTCTGCGACTGTTGACGGCTCATTTCTGTAACTCCTCCGTATGGCGGTGATGCTTGACAAATGCCAGAAGCCAGGTTCCCTTCTCAGCTTCCAAGGTGCAAGTGCCCAAGACACTGTCCAACGCTTCATATCCCAGGTTGCTATTTGTTCTTTTCCTCACGCGTTGGGGGGGCCGCTCGCCCTTGCAGCACTCGAACTTGTCCTTGCTGCCGATCCAGAAGAAAAGGTTCCAGTCATCGCAGTCGAGCATGCCCTGAACCTCCATCTTGTCATTGGTGCCGCACTCGTTGAAGCCCTGGGCAAGGGTGGCCCAGATGTCAGAGTTGCCCACGACCGTATCGTTCGCCTGGGCCGAGAGGTGGGGGTGGCCGACGGCGTAGAGGCAGCTGCCGCTCTGGGCGAGCTCCAGGTAGTGGCGGCCCTCGAGGTCTCTCTTTTGAATGGTCCACTTTCCATGGTTGTTGTACCAGAATCGGATGAGGTCCTCACAGTCGCCGGACTTGGCACCCTTGTCGCGGCTGGGGTCCATGCAGGTCGGGCCGACGTACTCGCAGACGCGCTGAGGCTTCGGTGCGAGATCGAACTGGAGGCGCTTGGCGAGGGAGTTCTCAGAAGTGCCGGCGTCCTCGCGGTCGTTGATGATAGGGAGGTTGCCGGCGAAGGGAGCGGGGTTGTGGTGGTGGCCGCTAGGAACCGGGTGGTTGACATCCTTCAAGCCGTCGCCGCGGGTAGAGAGCATGGCGGTGTTGACCCAGACAGGCTGGCAGGTTCCGTCCTCGCGCTTGGTCTCATAGCAGACTGCTCCATCGTAGGGCCGCTCGAGGTTGCTGCAGATGACGCCGCAGTTGGGGTCGAAAGGCTTGCCGGTGAAGGGAATGGCAGTGCTGGAGATGACAGTGAAGGCCATCACAGTGACGGCACCCAGGAGGCGGGACATGGCTGCCATCTTTCAGGTATTGATGGGGGAAGAGATTGGTAGTGAGGACGGATTTCCAGCTTCTTGTGTTTTCTCTGATGGAAGAAGGAGGAAAGCCTTTTGTGAAGTTTGGCCTGTTGTGTGGGAAGAGAGGCAGGGAAAAGGAAGGCTCCCTTTGGGAAAAGAGGGCTTCTGGTGAAGGTGAAGTTTTGTTCCTCGCTTATCTGGTCTGAAGAAGACCGCTAAGCAACGTAGCTCTGGGAAGGAGCAAATTTTCGTCAAAGAGAAGTCGCCCCTGCCTCTCTTGTGTGACCCCGGATGAAGATGAGGGGAGGGCACGCATTTGAAAAGCCAGGCAAAAAGAAAAAGTAACTGCTGGTGGCTGTAAATTTCAGAAGCAGAAATGATCATGGTTTGAGCGGGTAAAGCAAAGCAATAAGCGAGGTGAAGCTCGTGTATTTTCGTCGCGACGTTGATCTACCAGCTCTGGTGTTGCCAAAGACGTGTGATTGATGTGCCAGTCTATCTATGGCCAAACTCCAGAACGATTTCCGTCCTTCATGTCAAAACCATGCCCTTCTCAAAAACCAAGTCCTGTGATAAAACGAAGTCCTCCCTGGAAGCCAAGCGCAGTCCCAAGCCATGAAAGTCGTATCCTTTGTAAAGCCATCTATCCATACGGCCATTGCCAATCCAAAATGAACGTCCACTAGAACCTCTCAGGTGGGGAAAGATACCAAATGATGTAGTCCTTCTTGTCATGCTCGTCGTTGGTGACGTCGCACTGAGCATCATCGATGGCCTCGACATGTCCAGCCTCGTACTCGTACCTGATGGCAAGGTTGATGGCCTTGGCCAGATCGGCACTGCCAACAGACATGTCGCTGTTGTTGTAGGTCTTTGGGTAGAGACCAATAGCGCAAGTGCCAGACTTGGCGAGGAAGACGTTGTGGCTGGCGTCAAGGACAGACTTGGGGATGGCGAAGTAGCCAGGCTTGGAGCCAGCCCAGTCGTGAATGACCATGCAATCGTTGGCGTCTGCAAGCTTTGGGAGGTCCCAGGGGTTACCAGCCAGGGGCTTCCGGGCCTCGTCAATCAAACAGTGGGTGGTGCTGTTCTCCTGATTGACGTAGATGGTATGCTTGGCAGTGTCTGAGGTGATAGGAGGCTTGGAGCCAAGAGCGTCGTTGATGATGATGGGGACAGCGGTGCCGTTGGCTGAGAGGAAGGGCTCGCAGCGGGTGTGGTTGGCAAGATTGATGTCGTTGCAGACAGCACCGTCCTGAGCCGACAGCTTGTAGGGGGCGGCGTGAACACCATCAGTGCCGGTGAAGGCCAGGATGGTGGCTGCGAGGACAGAGTTCATCTTAATCTGCATTGTTGTGTTGTGAGTGAAAATGATTGAATGTGAAGATATTGATGTTTGGGAGTGAAGGTAATGAGGAATCTTGTGTGAATGGATAAGCTGTTTGTGAAAGATAGAGTTGTTTGTGGTGAAAAGGGTTTGAGGGGTGAGCAGGAGGTGAGAGGCGCTATTGTCTTCTGAGGGATGAGGTCTAGCAGTCCGGGCTAAGCGAGGAGCTAATGAGTGCGGGCAGTAGAAGATGAAATCTTTCAAGAGAAGGAGCGAATGATGGTGATGAGTGAAGGTGCTCCTGCCCCTGAAAGCTGGTGAGTTGAGGGAAGGTGTGTGGTCTCCTTCTGGAGGAGTTAGCATTTGAGCCCCACCCAAACAGACTACACTACCTTAGTGTACCGTTTCTGATAAGAAAGTGGTTTACTGTAAGGCTTTGATGAGAGTCCAGTTAGATGAAGTCAGGAGCTGATGTGAAAGAGTTCACTCTCTTCTGTACTGTTAGCATGAGCATCGTTAAAGCCAGCACCCTCCTCAGAGCCATTGCAGAAAGGTTTGGTATACGAACAAGATGCACATAATACCTAAGATATCCTGATAACTCATAATAGTTTCCAACTTGATGTGCCTTGAAACAGATTAAGATATGCTGAAGCTGTAGGAGGATGACGGAATATCACAAGGCAATAGATATATCTCAGGAATCGGTCTGATTTTCGCTCATTAATAAGTGATATCTACCTATTTCAAAGTGCTCAGTCATCTACAATCTAGACGGAGCAGACGACACGGGGGATCTTCGCAAACTAAGCCTGCCCATTGCGCTCTAAACAAACAAGGTCAATCTTTAGGTCTACTGTAGGACTATCGCGGCACGTTAGGCAGCGGCCTAGGTCCAGCAATCTGTCTCGGTCCGACGATCTGTCTTCTTCCAGCTCCAATTCCCTGGCTGCCCTTGTTCTGGTTGTCACCGCCGGTGTATCCAGCCCACTGGCTCACGTCCCAGCGGCCACCGATGCCACCACCGATGCCATCAACGCCGTTGCCGGTCGGCACAGCCTTAGCAGTCTCCTGCTGTGCCTCCTCCCACTCACGCTGACGCTGGCGCTCCATCTCCATCTCGCGCTCAAGTAGTGACTTGGATGCCCAGCCACCAGCCTTAGTGTTAGTCTGGCTCTGCGCGCGTCGGCGGTCCTCGGCATCCTGCTCGGCGGTAGCGCTCAACTCGCGGGAGTAGGTCTGTCTCGCAGGGGGCTGAACGGGTGCCGCGTTGTTGGCGAGGAACCTGTCAGTTCGGCTTGGCGGAGGTTGCTGCGCGGCCTTATAGGCGGCGGGGTCCGGAAGGGGCCGGCCACCGGTGGTGTGGGCCACGACCTTCTGCGGCGGCGGGGATGCCACAGCTCTGGGGTCAGGCAGGGGTCTGGGCGATCTTGGAGGTGGGGCAGGAGGCTCGTCATCCTGTAGGGATTCCTGATGCTGCGTCCATGATGTCTGAAGAACCTCACGCTCGTTCTTAGACCAGGAATCTTGTCGGCTAGGCGTTCCGTCGGATGGCCGGCTCCTAGACCTCAGCCGCGCCTTAGGATCGTTGGTGACAGCCAACGTCCTGCCTGTTCGCCCCTGACGCTCAAGCTCGTACTGCCTCTCACGTTCTCTGGCCTTCTCCAGCTCAGCCTCCAGCTCGGCGATTCTATCTGCGCCAGTCTTTTGCGGCTGAACCTTCTGCTCGGCCTGGTACTGGCTCAGGAATTGCCCCCGGAGTCTAGCGTCACTGCGGCTTCTAGTGCGGGTGCGCTCTTCAACCAGGCGTTGCTCGGCCTCCTCCTCTTCCTTGCGTCGCTTTTCTTCCGTGAGCTTCCACATGCGCTCTTCCTCCTCCCACTGTCTTCTCTCCTCGTCCGCTCGTCGTTGCTTTTCTTCCACGAGACGTTGGATCTCTCTCTCCTCTTGCTCACGTGCCTGTCGTTCCTCGTCGTCCAGCTTCTGGCGCCTGAGATCTTCCATCTGCTGGCGTTGGCGTTCCTCCTCGGCCTCCTTCTGCTTGCGCTTCTTCTCCCTCTCTGCCAAGCTGGGTACGGTGGGACCAGCACTAGTGATCTGTCTCCGGCTTCCAAACGAGATTCCGAGGTTGCCCTGACTAGCGCCTCCCATGTAGCCGTACTGAGCAATATTCCAGGCCGGAGATGTGGCGCCCTCATGCTCCTTCTTGCTCCAGCTGGTAGTCGGAGATGTCGGCTTTGTCGGGCTCCATCGACCGGATCCCGAGTCACCGGTCTTGGAGCTTGTCAGATTGGGTCGAGGGGAGCCGAATCCGGAGGCATTGGACAGTCCGCGAGATCGGGTCGGCGAAGGCGTTCCTCGTCCAGTGCCCTGAGGGCTCATCACACCTCGGGTCTTGCCGCCAATCGGTGTCGGAAATCTGGCCGGGTTCGCGGTGTGGGCAGCTCGGCTGAACGCTCCGAGGCATTGCAGCACTTGGGCCGGGTCTTTCTGTTCGAACAAGTCGACTGTAAGGAATACATCGTGCTCTTGGAGGTTCAGAGGCGGTTGCTTGCAAGCGCGGAGGAAGTGTGAGATATTCTCCATCTGGACGAAGGGCATCGCGGACTTCTTGAATTTGACCCCGGGTGGAGGCACCGCGAGGTTGATGAGTCTGAGAGTCACATGTCAGTTGGTGCACCGCTGGAAAAAGCATATTTTGACCTACTTGCACAACGCCACGCCATCCTTGAGGCTCTCGAGCAGGTCACCGCTGGGTAGTCTCTCGCCGAGAACGCTCTCAATCCAAGAGCTGACCTCCTTCGCCGCGGCGGGCGTGTACCTCTCTAGGCGCAACTTGCGCAAATCCTTGTCTAATGACGTTACTGAAGCCATACTGTTTCGTTATATTCGCAAGTCGTGAGGACGGAATGCTGGTAAACAGGATCGATTCGTTGTTTAATGCTTTAAGCGCTTCGCACTCGGGTTCGTAGGTGCGTTTCAGTGACGCGGCGGTTAGGCGCTGACGTCGGCGAGGCCCCGGGGATGACGGAGCTGGTACAAGATGCTGGAATCCTCTGCTCCGCGCGCGGGCGCGAGTTTGTCTCAGGGTGTTTTATAGACGCAGGTCGATGCAGTGTTCGGGATTAAAGGGAATGGGGAGAGGAAGAGGAGGGCCGACGAAAGGGCGATCGAAATGACTTGCGGGGAGAGGTGAACAATCAATATGTCGGGTGGCAGGGGAAGAATGATTGGGAAACACTGAAAGGCCCGACGAAGACCGCACTTGTGCCTTGTTGGTGGGGAAGATTTAATTGTTTATGCATCTCTACAGCCAGGCGGGAACCTGGATAAAGGTGACAGCGCCTGGGGTCCGACGTGCCCGCCGCGGCCTTGCGGAGTGACGTGTGCGGTGGTGGCTGGTGGGGTCAATGTAACTCTGAAGCGCATTGGGCAACTGCTGTTGGCTCGTTGCAGAAACATAAAAATATGTGGCTGAGGATATGGCGGCCCAATCATGGTTCAGCCAATAGAGCCTCGGCCGCTTTTCCCTGTGGCGGTGCAAATTATCTGAGCTTGACCTCATTACTTTTCCCAAACACCCAGCAACTTCGAGATATTGAAGCCATGGGATCCTGAGCGACGAACTTTCTGTTTCCGTCTTCCCCAACCTCGCAGAATAACGCCCAAATGTCTTCAACACGGATCTCGCCAATACTGGAGGCCTGGTATAAGTGGAAGTCGCTCAGACTACCATGGCGCAAGCGCTTCCTCATCGGTCCGTCCCCCCTCACCTCAACCATGGTTCTTCTATAAGAGGCACCGCTTCCTTGGAAACCTTCCATACTAACCCGCTCGGTTCCAGGCCGTGACCTGCAGGGCTACACGTACTGGGAGTTCCGCGAACAACGAGGCGACGGACCCGGCCGCTTCCGCCGCATCGTCCACTACCCCCGATCGACATACCTGTCCGATGTGAAGGTGTCCCCGTTATGGCACCAATGGCTACGACACACACGTGAGCACCCGCCTTCGCTCGAAGAACAGTCGAGAGAGATCGTTAGGCAGGAGAGGATGAAGCTGCTGGCGGCGCAGGCGGACGCGCGGTGGGAGGCAAAGCCTAGAGTAATGGACGCCCCAGGACAGGCAACAGGTCAACCGTTACCTGCCTTGAATACAGCACAACATCAACCTATTGCACCGGAGCTGGAGTCGGCAAATGCGACAACGACCGAAACGACCGAGTCGATCCCGACACAATCAACGCCAAAGACCAGCGCAGCGAAGAAGAAATACGGACACGATCCATGGGAGCAAGCCAAGGGTCCCGGGGAGGCGTGGCAGCCACAGGCGTGGGTGCCGCCGGCGGGGAAGAAATAGAATGGCATAAACGACGGCAATTCATCTGTATTACTAAAAGACGGGCCCATCTCCGCACATGTATCAATACTTCGATATGCAACCGTCCCACAGCCAAATTTCTCTGTCGAGACGCTTCCAAGCCAAACGAGGTTAAGGTGATCTCGGTTTCCAAGTCTCATCTCCGCTGATATTCCAAACGCCAAAAACGCCATCCCAGGTTGCCCCACGACCCGAACCCAAGCGCCACGCCGGACTTGACAGACCTACTAAGAGGGAACGCCGACAATTAATCAGTCTCTTCCTTCTTGGTGTCCCTGTCGACGGCGTTCCTCAGCCTCTCCTCCTGCCTCCTCCAATGGCTGCCCTCCTCGTAGTCCTTGCTTATCCTCAGCGCGCTCCTAAGCCTCTCGCTCTCCTTGATTTTAGCATCCGCCATCTCGTGTACCTGATGACTCTTGAAGTGCTTCCGCACCGGACCGCCGCCGCGTGAGTTCTTCTGCTTCTCGAGATCGGCAAGGAGCTTCTGGCGCAGCTCGTCGCATCGGGTCTCAATTTCTTCTTCCTCAAGACTGGAGTCGCAAAGAGTGGTTAGCTACATCTGCGCAAGATAAAGAGAGGGGAGAGATAAGCTCACCCTTCGTCCTCGAGGGTATCCCGGAGGTCTAGGACCTTGACCTCAACCTCGCGCTTGCGATCGTGCTCGAGAATCTCCTTATCGGGCTGTCGTTGCTTGTGACGGAGCGAATCGGCGTCTTTCGGAGGGTACGGCGCGCCATAGTCGCGCGGGCGCATGTGCGCGAGGTTGCGCTGGACGTAGCCAGAAGTGCCGCTGCCGCGAGGCGTTGAGAGGCCGACGTTGTCAGACATGGCGTGTAGATATGGTGTAACGAAATTCTGGGCTGCGAGGCTCAGTTTGTGGTGGTTCGGGTATCGTGATAATAACTGCACGTTTCGCTAGATGTGTGTGTCGATCGGTGGTATCGGAGAAAATCAAGGTTGGGCGTCTTTCTGTACGGAGTACGCGCTGTCGGAGCTGGGGGCTGAGAGGAGAGACGTCACTACAACCTCTGGACCCTTGGCGGTACGAAAGTTCAGTTGGGAGCTGCCGTTCCCGAAGGCGGTGAATAGGGACGATAGAGGCGGCGGGGCCGTGGTGGCAGAAAAAAAGATGTGACGGTGGGATGGTGGGGTACTTTCTGCTTTGGGCGATGGGAAGACTCACTAAACGATTAAGACTCATCGATGTAAGTGAAAATCCGAGCACCTTCAATGCTGTTTTCTGACTAGAGGTAGATCTGACTGGGATTTTTCACATAAAACAGTCCCAAAATCTCCGGAAACTTCATAAACGAATACCAATCTTTGCAGCCGACAAAGTTATCGAGAATGCCGTCCCTCGAAGGTCTTACAGAGGGGCAACCGACCCTGGACGCGATTACCAACGCAAGCCAGGAGGCCGAAGAACTCATCTTTCCCCCAGTCACCAAGGAACACATCCTCAACTGTGCCTACGACGCCTGGTTTCCCAAATACCGCACTGTCTCAATTCGCTCCCGTATCATCAAGCTCTCCCCAGACTTCGTCCAGTACATCCGTGACGACGGCATCATTCTCGCTGACGATGATGATGCCGCCCAGCCAGACTCAAATGAGGAAGAGGAAGAATGGGCGCCTTCATCAAACACATCCGGCGCCCCTCGGAGAAACCAGCATCTCGACGAGGACTCCGACTCCGACTCGGAGCCAGAGGCAGACTCGCGCCCGCCAAACGAGCGCTTTCCGGAGATTCACCAGGAGATCAAGGACCGCATCAAGGAGCTCGGCGGCTCCGTGGCTCCCAAGCTGAACTGGTCCGCCCCCAAGGATGCGGCCTGGATCTCGCCGCACCAGAACACGCTCAAGTGCACCACGCCCAACGATATCTACCTCCTTCTCAAGAGCTCGAGCTTTGTGAGCCACGACCTGGAGCACGCCTTCGACGACACCGTCGCTTCCTCCGCGAACCGCCCCTTCCAGCCCGTTCTCGTCCTCCGCCCCTTCTTCGCGCCGAACCCGGCCCTGGAGTTCCGCTGCTTCGTCAAGCACCGCGCACTCATCGGACTTTGCCAGCGCGACTGGAACCACTACCCCTTCCTCGACGGCCTGCGCTCTGCCCTGGTGTCCAAAATCGAGGACTTCTTCGAGGACCGGCTGCGTTTCACTTTCCCGGACGGCTCCTTTGTGTTTGACGTGTACGTGCCGGGTGACAGCGATTCGTACGATGAGCTGGGCAAGGTGCGGCTGATCGACATCAACCCGTGGGCGCCGCGGACGGACAGCCTGCTTTTCACGTGGGGTGAGCTGCTCGAGTTCAAGGTGCCGAAGCCGATATTGGGCTCCGTGGTGACTGAGGAAGCTTTCGAGGTGAGGATTCCCATGTCCGGGAATAGGGGCGACTGGAGCGAGGGTAGCGCAGCGGAGGAGACGACGGACGACGAGGACGCGGATGAGGTCGTTCCCGAGCTGAGGATTGTGGAGAAGGATAACCCCGCGGCCTTCAACTTCAGTACGCCACAGTACTCGGCGCATAAGCTTCCCAAGGAGGTTGTTGACGCCAGTATGGCGGGAGAGGGCGGTTTGAGGGAGTTCGCGCAGAGGTGGAAGGAGATGACCGAGGCAGAGGGTGGCGGGGATGTATGGGAGAATGCTCCATAAGTTGGGTCAATGAGAACATAGGATAGCGACGTACCTGGGATTCGTTAAACAAGACTGATGATCCAAGACCACCCGACAATCCATTCTTAACCAATGTTTCGGCACGCGTAGGGCAGGCAAATCTGAGGCAAGTTTGGATCACAAGTCCAAGACCCTCAAGAACATGAGCAGCTTGATTCAAACAGGGTTCAAGTCAGGCTTTCCGAGCTGTTGATTTCCGCGCCAGAACGCCTGCCTGTCCTCCACGGGAGCCCTCGAAGCGGTATGCGCGGCCTATGTAAGGAGAAGTTCTAGAGGCAGCTGTCGGAGGCAGACGTGTTCCTATCGACCACAATGACCTAGCGAGTCACCCTTTGGCCACTTATATCATCTGTAAAGACTCTTCGTAGGGTTCGAATACGTCGGACCCGAGCTTTTGCCAGATTTTTCTTTTGTGTTTCCCTTTTCTCTTCTGTCGCCCGTCTTCTTCTGCCTCGAGATGGTGTGACGTCCTCTATGGCCAGCACCTTTCTTCCTGTGTAAAAAAAAACTGTCAAGTGTTTTCTGATCGATTTGAAAGTGAGATGGAGCATGTGCGCGGTCTTGTTCTTCTGCATTTCAGAAGAACGATATGTATGCAGGCCTTACAGTCTATAACGTCACAGCCCGACTCTCGCTCACTTCATTCAGGACAAGGCAAAGGCTGTTCGTCATAAGGCGTTAGAACAACTAATTGCCTCCACTAACTCCCTCTGAGGCGTGCGGAAGTTAGCGCTGCTGAGGACATGCAAGAAGTTGAGTCGACTGCTTAATACGCACGCACATATGAAAACGTGACTGGCTGGGTTTGCGCGACACAAACTAAAGCTCGCCCTCAGCCATCTCACACTCCATAAAAGAAAAAGGGAAAAAACAGCTGAGGAAAGGAAAAGGTTTTTATTTCTATTGTCATATAGCGGAACAGAATTATAAGAACGGGAGAAAAAAAAACATAGATAAAAAAGCTCAGACTCGTGAGAGTCCTACGAAAAACCGATGGTTTTTACGACACGGCCAATATGGCCAACTCGAACTCGTGGAGTTCTTTTTTTTTCATGTTCAAGATGAACCGCTTGACCATGAAGGTCGGAGTGCGCGCACACTCTGAGGCAAGATGCCCCGACAACTCGTCGCAGAAGCGGCCTTCTTAAAGGTGAGAGCCCGCCTTCCTGCCTACCCAGCAGAAGTACCTATCAACATGCGTTCACCCACTTACCACCAAATACAGCACGGGCAGAGAGGAGGCACGAAAAAAACAATCATATTTGTATATACGCAAGATGAAGGACATATACAAAGGCGCAAAGGGGCACACTCGCTGGCCCAAATCCGAGGCCCCTTTCGACGTGGTCCAGTGACATTCTCGTTAGGGTATCATATCATCAGATACAAAACATTACCATTTACACATCCAACACATGGGTCCGTCATCCAAGTAGCAGCAGCAGCAGTCGCTGAGGCCAAAGCAGACAAGAATACGCAGCACCATCCGAGACAGAGTAAGCACTCTACATGACCACACAGCAAGCCTTCTCCAGCTTCTTGAGGATCTTGACGACGATGTCGTCGTCCTGGTCCTGTTGCTGTTGGCCGCCGTGATGCTGTTGCTGGCCGCCGTGGGGCTTGCCTCCATGGGGTTTGCCTCCGTGTTGCTGTTGGCCACCACCATGGTGCTGCTGACCACCACCAACCTGCGGAGGCGGCGGCATAGTAGCGTCATTGCCCTGGAGGTTGATGTAGATTCTACCCGCATTCTCCTCCGTCGAGTACTTCAGCCCGAGCTCCCGGCACAGCGCCTCGATGCGCGGCTTGAGCTTCTGCACATGTCCCGTCGAGTGGTTGCCCTTGCCGACGATGGCGTGCAGGTGTTCCTGCCCCCGGTCGCGGTCGGCGCGGATGCGCTGTTCAAGCATACGCTCCGCCTCCTCGACGAACTGGCCGTGCAAGTCGATGCAGCTGCCCGTCACGCGGCCGGCGGCGTTGTTCTCGCGGAAGATATACTCGGACGCCTGGCGGTTGTAGTCCTCCATCTTCTGGGCGTGGCGCTTGCCCTCGTTCGAGAGCTCTTTGGCGGCGGCGCCATCGCCAGACTGGTAGGCCTGCTGAGACTGTGTGTTGCAAAAAGAGTCAGACAAGACGTTGGGGTGATCGTCGAGGGGCGTGGGGGTTAACGTACGCGCTCAAAACACTGGTTACGCTTGTTGGCTTCCTCACGGGCGAGGTCGCGGAGGCGGTCGTACTCCCGCTCCACATCGTCGTCGTCGTTGTCGGCGTGGTGAAACGCTGTTGGAAGATCGGCCTTGTCAGCACGGAGGAACCACTCGTACGATACGCAGGAAGCATCGGCGGGTGGTTGTTTCCCGCGTTCCCTGTGGCGGTCGCGGTTCAAGCCATAGCTTCAGGGGTAGGAGAAACGCGAAACGGGCGGGGATGCTTACCGCGACCGCCCAAGCGGTTCATGGGAATGGAAGACATATTGGCGTGGTTTGCTCAATTGAATTGAGTGTGCCCGGATGAAGCAAAACCTGACGTCAAACGACAGAAAGATGATGCAGTCGGGAGAGGGCAGTGCCAAGTCTGGTCGAGACGCGGACGCAGAGGCGGTCAAGACGGCGCTAAACAAGCTTGTTTTTCGCGGGCCTCGGCCGCACAATTATGGAGACAACATCCGGCATTGGTCCTAATGCTGACCCGGCCGGATGCCGCCCCGGACCCGCAACACTGATAATTGTTCAGCTATTGCCGTGGAAGGTCATGTCCTTGTCTCCGTCTCCGTTGTCCTTGCGGACAGAGCCTTTCCGGCGTGGATCCGGGGCAGAATTCCCACCATGCTGACAGTGCGATCTTCAGGGGCAGCAGCCGTGCGTTGCAATGGTTCAAAGACTCAAAGGCTCTCAGTGGCTGATTGAGGCGGCAAGCTAGTGTTTGTAAGATACATCAGCGGCCGCTTGGTTCAGTGCGTTTTTCCAGCCATAAATGCTTGTACATGGCAAACCTGCGCAGAGAAGATTGCCCTGAAACAAGCCAGACCCAGCGACTGGTCTGGATGGCGGTCGTGGCTGAGGTCGGCACGTCGTTTCACAGCTCCCCGGGTCCATGATGTTCTAGCCGTCCGAAACAAAACTCGAACATCCACGGCGGGCATGAATACCCGCAAAAGTGAGGGCAAATGGGTGGCGTATCATGGGTTTTCCCATCACTAAAGACATATCGTGTGTGTGATGTGCCAAACCGTCGTTACACAAGAGACAGGCTCAGGGGTAGAATGCTTCTGTGGGTCTTCCAGAACATCTCCTCTTTGGACTTCTCCGACCTCCAGCGCTTCCAATTGCAGGACCAAGGCACCCATCATCCGAACTGGCCGATCAATTTGGATTTCCAGATGGAATGGCAATTTGAGAGACGCAATATGAGATCTTGGGAACAACAGCAGATGATCGTAAGAGTTCTCAAACCTAGTTGAGATACGGTGCAACGTACCTGCAGCGCAGCATCTGCTAGAGCCGGATCCTAAATCCTGCGCTGTTCTGTAAAAGGTATCTTAGTTCTCCCTTGTGCCTGCGCAATATGCAAGAGAGAGCGCGCAGACTTCTCCATCTGCCAGGTCCGCATCTGAATACCGCCTCTGCCATTCGTCCGCTCGCAGAGTGCGAACCGGGGGGCAGGCAAAGAAGACGACGACATCGGATGGGGTTCGGCCTCGGGAAACGAAAGAAGCCTCCACAATTCCGGGCCCTCTTCAATTAAAGGAGCCTTCTCGTGATCCCGCGTGGAACGATTTTGCAACTCCACAGTTTTGCCTCTTCAGGCATTCGTTGCCAATGAGGCCCTGACCACTGCCAATTCTCGGCCTGGGTCCGCGTCGCATCGCGAAAAGGAGCTCGCTATGCCATGTGGCCTCCCTGTACCGACGCGGGAATAGTTGCTGGTAGTAGTCTCCGTCCGCCTGCCCGCAAAGATCTAGTGACAACGCGAAATTACCTTATTTCGGATCTGAAATGTGTCCGTTGCTGGCCAACTTCTTCTTTCGACGCTGTTGAGACCACCCTTTTGGGAGGCGCTCTTAATTGTAGCCTTGGTGTAACGGCTGCCAATCTTGGTTGAAAGAGATATTTTGCGTCGCCTTGCCCTCTAATAAGTAAGGATACATGGCCTTGAAAGACCAGACCTGGTATCCCAGTGTGATTCGCAGCTCTGAGACAGCGGACGGGACAGGCAGGGGATCCGGATTGCGACAAGTGATGGATTGAAACAAGGGCAACCCATCGCATTGAATTTCGAACCCACACGTCTTTTTGCCGGGGACGACGAGAAGAAGCAAGTTGCAACAGTCCCATCGGTGTAGGATCTTAGGGGCGCATTCTCGATGACGCCTCGTTGTTAACCCCCAGGATTTCGTCCAAAATTTGGTGTTGATCGACGACATCAAACAGGTTGGGAAAACACAGACTAGGAACCGAATGCGGCACCCCGAGATCATTGTCCGATCAGCACTCCAAAGGGGCGTTGTGCCCCTTTCTTTGGCAGAACATCAGACTGTGTCCGTGGTGCAGATGAGATTCGCAACGGCTTCTGGGCTGTGTGAACTGCAGTTGCAGACAGGGGATCGTGCTAGTGATTCTTGCCCTTGCATGGTTAACTTGCACCAGCTAACGCTCTATGGCTTGGTGTTGCAAGGCAGCTAGAATGGTGGGGTCTGACCGCCCCAAAATCCCATCTCGAGATTCTGATTGACTGGCGGCGGATTAAGAAATCTTTCTTCAAGATGTCAACGCGCCTCGTTGACGTGCAAGACATATGTCGCAGTGGCGATATATGTGCACCGTGTCTTCTCAGATGGTCCGCGACCGTGACAACTGAAATCACCAGAGGTAGCCAGGAACCACTGCCCGGAGAAGCCGCAGACTGTCGGCCGTTTCTGGAAGTTTGTATGCATGTTTGTTGCAAGATGACCGGTCGTGCATTCGGACACTTGAGACCGGTGCGTCCCAGAGCATCGGAGCGCCCAGCTTGTACATTTTCCATCTTGAACCGATTTGGTCGTCGTCTGTACAAAGACGTCCTAGCATGCGGCTAAGGCGGTGGTTAGCTAGTCTTGTGGCGTAATTATTGGCTGGCTGCGATGATTGCCCAGCTGCTGCCATTCCTACGATCCAGGCTAAAGAGGCGTCCTGGCGACCAATCAATCATCCCTCTTCGAGTCAGGATGATCGATGTCTCTCTTTGAGAGCATCGACTTGGTCTGTTGCCGAGGGGCTCAGGTCTGTGGCTTTTTTTTTTTTTTTTTTTTGGTGCGAGAGCCTTCCCTCTGGTTCATATCGAAGTGATACAAAGGGCGGTTGCATGTTTGAGCGAGCTCAAGCTCTTGTAAGCCATACTTATTCCAGGACGATGAAATCGACACCATGTCCAAGTCGCGAGCAACTCAAATGCCACTGTTATCTTGTTGTCAAAGGCTGAATCCTGATTTAGGCACCCGCATGACAGCAACGAACTTGATGCACTGGTGGCATCGTTGTTCACACGAGTCTGGAGGGGACTTGGACAGTGCGATCCAGCTATCACCCGAGTTAATACCTGCAGCAGCAAGACTCGAAGGACAAAGCCCAAAGGGATGATGGATCATCTCGGCGGCAGGATGCAGTAGCCGCTGGCGGTTGAGGATAGAAGCAAACAGACGACGAACTTCATCAAAGCAAACATTTTGGCGTGGCTCGAAGATTGGGCAGGCTCCTCTCGAGAGAACGGGATTGTGGAATGTGACGGTTGGCCGCATACCAAAGCTTGGGAGAAAACGTTCAGCTTCCAGATGGTTTCCCTAAAGGAAAAAGCAAAGCTGCAGAGTGCAAACCGCTCGTCAGCCTGCGGCATGAACTCTCTGAACAGAAGATAGCTTCATGTTTTAGCCAGGCCGGCCAGCACAACCCCAGAGATTTAGTTGGAGCCAAAGCTGAGCCAGTGAGGCGCCACTACTCCCAATTGGACGCGCTTGTGGTTAGACGCAAACTTGTCATCGATGCAATCTGCTTTGCTTTTTGGGAATGCAGATCGTGCGCCGCAAGATGGCTAACACGGAAAAATCTAAGACGATGAGAACCCAAGACTATTGGGTGGGAGGCTGAGGCTTTGGACGCGGAAGGAGTCACAGAGTGTCGTAACAAGCTCGACCTCAGTGATGGAGGAGTCCGACGCCTAGACGCAGTAATTGTACGGAAAAGGGAAGATCAGCAGGTAGGAGATGGAAGTCGGCATAATATCCAAGATTCCATGTGCCGTGCCATCGTCAATCTCATCTCGGGATCTGGGCTGGTGTTTATTAAAAAGCGAGAAGGCAAGTGATGTCGTCGTACCTTGTACTCAGAGACGACGGCGCGTCAAGGCGGTAGGCTGGTCAGTTGTACCGTGTACGAAGCACGGCGGCCGTCCGTTGGGAACCGGGCAGCCCAGCATCGTAAGTGGATGCAGGGAGATGCTTAGGCGGAGAGGACCAGGTAGAAGCGTGGGCTCACTGACATTTGGCCATATGGCGGTGGAGTCGGATATGGCGATGGGAATGACGATGGGGGGGTTTCTGGCCCTGAACTGGCCTCGCAGCAACGGCAGAAGAGTACGGATCTTGAAGGTACCGCGCAGTAGTCGACAGTAGCAGAGACATGCGGCTTGATCAGGAATGGTGATGGGTTCGCCGTGTCCGTGGTATTTTGGCCCTAAAAAGAAGGATGGGCGATGGGCCGGACGACGGCTGGCTGGCCGGCTTGTCTGTAGTTGGTTCGCGCCTTGAAAGAAGAAAGGAAATGCAAGGCGACAGGTGCCAAGCTCAGACGTACATGATCCCGATCGACCCCTATTGGAGATGCAACTTGCAAGAGCTTGGTTAGGATGCTGTTCCTTTGTGTCTCCGTCCGCCAGTGCCCAGTGGTTGCTCTGAGTACCGTACAGTGAGGTAGGCAAGTGGGACCTGGCTGTGCTCGATTTCCTAGCTTGGAGACGTACAGACCATTGGCGAATCAAGTTGTGGCCGAGAGCTTTGGGGCTGCGTTGAATAAGTTGTTTGCTTCCATTGTTTGCTTGACGGCGGCTAGACCGATGCGTTTTCCTAAGTAGATACACGATATTGATGAGATTGGCGACGTCTTGATGCGCGGCAGCTTGCTGTATTGTTGGATGGTTGTTTGTGCTCTGTGCAAGTCCGTTGATAAGCCTTGAGCAGGGCATACTGCGCACCGTCGCGATATTGGAACCATTGCCGTCAAGGGCACAGCAAGGAGGCTGCGGATGAAGGTGTTTCAAGAATCGCAATAGAAGCCCTGATGGAAGGAGGTTATGTTCCAATTGCAGTTTTCCAATGTTCCATCTGCCATCGATCTCCCTGGCGTTCCCTGCAGGTGGATCTCTGCTTCGTCTGGTCTGGCACTGGCAGAAGCAGAGGTGCTGCAGGTAGTCACAGAAGAAGGAAGGAGGATGATCCTCCATGC